ATGAGTAAAAAAGAATGAATTTCACTGTACATAAATTTAAAAAATAAAAATCAAGCAAGAGAAAACAAACAAACATCACAAGAAACAAGACAATCCAAAATGTGGCATATTCTATAAGACAACCAGCCTACTGGGCTCTTCAAAACAAAGAACAAAAAAACTATTCTAGGTCAGGAGTTAGAAAATCTTCTCTGTAAAGAACAAATTGCACATATTTTTGGCTTTCCGGGCCATACAGTCTCTGTTCCGACTATTCAAACTCTGCTGTTACCGTACAGAAATAGTCACAGATAATATGTAAATGAGTGGGCACCCCAATAAAACTTTCTTGATAAAAATAGGAGGTGGGCTGTAGCTTTAGATTAAAAACAATACAAGAACCAAATGTAACAGATGAGCTTGGATGTGTTCAGAAATATGTCATCTTGATCCCCCTCCCAAAAACAAAAAGCAAAATGTTAACAATGATTGAATCTAGCTGAATGGCATGTGGTGCTCACTATGGTACTACTCTTTCAAGTTTTTGTATGATTGAAATTTTTCATAATAAACATCATTTTAAATTCCTGCATAACACTGCACTGTCCAACAGAATTAGCTTTTCAATGCTGTTTGTTTTTCTCTCTTATAAACTGCTTCCTGAAAAGGTTGTATCTTTTTTCAATCACCCTTGAGTATTTAAAAAAATCTACAAAGGGATAGTAGACAAGAATTATCTTAGGTGACGGGAAGGACAGCACACACTACAGGGGAAGTCAGCACAACTGGACTAAACCAAAGCTAAGAAGTTTCCTGAACACAACTAAACATTTTGAGGGACAGATGAGCAAGGGCGGGGATCCGGGGACCACAGTTTCAGGGGACATCTAAGTCAATCGGCATAACAAAGTTTATTAAGAAAACGTTCTGCATCCTACTTTGGTGAATGGTGTCTGGGGTCTTAAAAGCTAGCGAGCAGCCATCTAAGATGCATCAATTGGTCCCAACCCACTCGGAGTAAAGGAGAATGAAGAACACCAATGTCACAAGGAAAGTACTGGCCAAAGAGACAGAAAGGGCCACATAAACCAGAGACTGCATCAGCTTGAGACCAGAAGAACTAGATGGTGCCGGGCTACTACCAATGACCGCCCTGACAGGGAACACAACAGACAGTCCCTGACAGCAGGAGAAAAGTAGGGTGCAGAACTCAAATTCTAGTAAAAAGACCAGACTTAATGGTCTGACTGAGACTGGAGGGACCAGTAAGACATGGCCCCTGGACACTTCATTAGCCCAGAACTGAAACCACTCCCACAGCCAACTCTTCAGACAAACATTAGACTGGACTATGAGACATAAAATGATATTCATGAAGAGTGTGCTTCTTAGCTCAAGTAGATACATGACACTAAAATGGGCAGCTTCTGTCCAGAGGTGAGATGAGAAGGCAGACAGGGTCAGAGCTGGTTGAATGGACAAGGGAAATCCAGGGTGGAAAGGAGTGTGCTGTCACAGTATAGGGAGTGCAATTAGGGTCACATAACAATGTATGTATAAATCTTTGTATGAGAGACTAACTTGGATTGTAAACTTTCACTTAAAGTACAACAATAAAAAATAAATCTACAAAGGACTTTGCTGATTTTACATACACTATGATAGAAAATGTCTGAAAAGATATAACACTAAATTAAATGGTCAGTGGTTTTTTTCTGGAAGTTTCCATGTTCACCTTTGGAGTTTGTTCTGCACTATGTGATTTTTCCATAACAAACAAGTATATTATTTATGTAATTAAAAAAAAAAGCTACATTAAAAAATTACAAGTGTTTATAATAGTGAAAAACCATAAACAACTTAAATATCCACCAACAAGGTATGGTTAAATAAATAATCATAGTTCCGGAACATTGTGAAGTATAAGCAAGGATATAGCAAAAACTAAACATGTTGCCGTGGGGTCAATTCCGACTTATAGCGACCCTGTAGGTCAGGGTTTCCAAAGCTGAGAATCTTTATGGGAGCAGTCTGCCACATCTTTCTCCCACAGAAGATGACCTGGTAGGTTCGATCCACTGTCCTTTTGGTTAGCAGCTGAGCTCTTAACCACTGCACCACCAGGGCTCCTTTAAGCAAGGATATAGATTTGTATTTATTGACACAAACAGGTTCATGCCATACTGAAAACAGAAAGCTATCAAGGAGTATGGATCATCTCATTTTGATATTTAAAAAGTGAAAGAAAAAAAAAAATCTATGAGCATATGTACATAGAAAATTTTCTGAGGCTATAGTCCAAAATGCTAGCAGCAGATATTTCTTGATGGTAAGGCTTCCAGGCAAGCCTCTTCTTCCCTTTTACACTTTTTGGTAATGGGCACCCGTTACTTTCAGAATCAGAAGAGCAATAAAGCTCTTGGAAAAGCGAGTCACTGAAATAACACACAGGACGGCACGAGGAGATCCAGACAATGAAGGGAACAGAGGCTTGTGAACAGCTCTGTCTCCTCAGAGATGGCAGTGGGCAATTTGTGAGGGAAGCTCAGCTGCCAGGCGGCGCCCAGAGCCCATCTCAGGCCAGCTTGCTGCCTGCTCAGACAGACTTCAAGAGGTGGCTGAACACCTCTTACTTAAAGGGCGCTAGAGTGTGACTGCCTGAGCACACAGGACCTAGACTCAGGGAAGCGGTGTCTCCAAAGACGAGGGCAGGAAGGAAAGCTCTCTGGACAGCAAACCAGCCAGCAGCTCGTTAGGTTGTAGCATCCCCTTCTGGGAAGTGGGGCCTCTGCTCCACTCGCCGGCGGAAGCACAGCCAGGCCGTTCATCACTCTTAAGTGCCCAAATTAGTCACTCGGCTGCACATTCACGGCCCAGCGCCCGGCACCAGGGAAGCTTTGTGGCTGTAGCCACGATGAGCCTGGCTGGGCCTGCTGAACTGAAGCCCTGGATGATTCAGTTCTCCACCTGCTGGAAAACCCAGAGATGCAGTCACATAAGGGGAGTCCCCCCAGCCAGCCTCAGAGGCACCACATCCGAACCTGCACTGTCATTAATCCTGCTCACTCACTGCCAACTTCCAAAAGCACCTTGTCGACTGCTGCCTACTTCTAGGCAAAGGCCTTCTGGTCCAGGGCTGTGAGTGGTTGAAAGATCCCTGCTGGTCCTAAATCGGTACAGATAGCTAGTGTCTAAATGAGGTTTCCAAGCAGAAGTGAAGAAAGAAGGGACAAGGGAAAGAAGAGAATCTCATCAACATTATTACTGGGAAAAACCCCCACAAAAACCAAGTTAGTGTATTGCTACTAGAGATTAGCAGTGCAGGGAGACTGACGTAGGATCACAGCTGGCCACTTACTAAAACCTTGCGCCAGTGACTGTATTTTTCTGAGCCTGTTTCTTCATTTAGAAAATGCAAAAGTAATCATACTTCAGGGACTTACTGTGGTGATTAATGTGGCTGTGTATGTAAAGAAGAGAAAGTTTTCAATACGTGGGGCTACTACTTGCTCTAGAACCTTGGTTGGGTCACCTAGCTTCTCTAAGCTTTAGTTTCCTCACCTGTAAAATGGGTTGTTGCGAGTACTAAGAGAGATCATGTATATAAAGCAATGACCATGACAGTGCATAGTAACTGCTCAATAAATTGTAGCTATCAATCGGTATTACGCTGCTATCCATAAGGTTTTCACAGGCCAATTTCTTCTGAAAGTAGATTGCCAAGTCCTTCTTCCTGGCCTGTCTTAGCCTGGAAGCTCCACCTCATATTCATGTGAAAGCTGGACAGTGAATAAGGAAGACCGAAGAGGAACTGACGTCTTTGAATTATGATGTTGGTGAAGAATACTGAATATACCATGGGCTGCCAGAAGAAAGAATATATGTGTCGTGGAAAAAGTACAGCCAGAATGCTCCTTAGAAGGGAGGATGGCGAGACTTCATCTCACATACTTTGGATATGTTATCAGGAGGGACCACTCCCTGGAGAAGGTCATCATGTTGGTAAGTTAGAAGGTCAGCAAAAAATAGGAAGACCCTCAACGAGACAGACTGATACAGTGGCTGAAACAATGGGCTCAAGCCTAACAATGACTGTGAGGATGGCGCAGGACCGGGCAGTGTTTCGTTCTCTGGTACACACAGGGTCGCTGTGAGTCAGAACTGACTTGACGGCACCTAACAACAACAACATGGTTATTATGGCTGTAACGTGGAAGTAGTGTGAAGCAGAGTTTAGAAGTCCCAAAAAGGCACATAAAGAGGACTGGGGTGAGTGGAGGATCCCAGTGCTGCTCTGAAGGGTTTCAGGACCTGGACACCACTTGTACCTCTCCAATCAAGACCCTGATTGTGCCTAAGAGCAAAAGACCGTGGCCTGAGGTGAAAACATCCCAGGTTCTAACACTGAGAGGATGCTGGCAGCAGAAACTGATGAGCCACATATGGAGGGAAGAAGGGGCAATATCCACCAAATGACAAATCTCCTCCTTCAGGCCCAGCAACCCCCTTTTGGAGTCACCTGTCTGCAGACATACCTGCACACGTACGAAATCACACACACATACACACAGACACACACAAGGTTATACACTACAAGAGGATGTAACAACAAAGCCTAGACACAACTGAGCCAGAATACAACACAAGTGTGTCACATGCTGGAACACTCTAGAGCTGTAGAGAGGAGAGAGGAAGCTGAACTGATCTGGAAACATCCCAAAAGGTCACGTAAAGCAAAAAGAGGAAGGTGCAGAACGGTGTTGATAGATTTTACATTGCTTTGAATTTTGAACCATGTGAATACAAAATACCTATTTTAAAAAACAGAACCTGTGGCTCTATTTTTGGTATGCTGTTACACCGAGGCCTATAGGAGAGCTATGGGAGAGCTGGCAGAATACGGCAAAGAGGGTTTTCCTCAGGGGTTTGGGTCTTAATAAAGGATCTCCCCAAACTGAGTCACATACTGAAAACAGATGTTTGTCTGTTTATCCTAAGCTGTGATTCACACCGAGACCAACCTGACAAAGTCCTCGGGAAGAAGGTCAGGACTAACACCCAGGGAGTCAAGTACATCATTTCGAATCTGGAGCAGCAACTCAGAATCTTCCCCATAGGTCTCGGAACTAGGGTCTCTTCCTTTATCCGTGCGGAACTTCAGGAGCACTGGGAAAGGGAGGAAGAAGGCAGGTTATAAAAGCAAGTCTTTTCATAATAATGCTTACAAATGCTGAGAACTTAAAATTGTTTAATTCTATAGGAAGTAGTACATTAATAAAAATGTGGGACACATGAAAGGTAATATGCTTTCATTTACTCAACAAATATACTCAGGCAATCAAATAATTACAAAAATGACTAAAATGACTGGTAGGAGCTGTGACTGTCTAACAGGTAATCTGACATCACCTGTAGGGTAGCATCAGGTAAGGCTTCCCCTGGTGAAGCAACCACTGATGCAGTGTATGTATATGTGAGTGTGTGTTTGTGTGAGTATGAGTGTGTATGTGTATGAGTATGTGTGTTTGTGAGAGTAAGTTTGGGAGTGTGTTTGAGAGTTTGAGTATGTGTGGATTTGTGTGTGTGTGTGTGTGTGTGTGAGAACATAAGTATGTGTGTGCTTTTGAGTTTGTGTGTGTGTTGGGGGGACGCACTTCCAGGAGAGGGTAAAGCGCGTTTATGACCCTGGAGAGAGGTCAGGAGCGGGAGGCGTGCATTCTCGGCACCAGTTCAAAGGGCTGCTTTTGCCAGAAAGGCCAGCCAAACGCTCAGACTCATCAGACGGGTGGGTCATTACAAACAAAACCTCCCCTCATACAAAAACTGTGCTTTGACGTCTAGAAAAGGATCTTTAATTCTGATTTTGAACCAGAAGAAAGGTTCAGACGCTGGCACGGAGTCAGACTTACTGTGGAAGGAGAGCCTAACAAGTCTAGAACATTGACTCCAAAAAGATACAGGTAGGAGCAGGATACAATTTGTCAAAACACAGCATATACAATGACATTGCACCTTATCCACGACGGTACCTGTGCCCACACGCTCCTCAAGGCAGGGGATAGCCAGCCTTGGGCTGTCTCTAAGGTCAATACAGCCACCATATCACATCACTGGAGGTTTAGACACGGGGATCAGATCGGCTTCAGCTTCGAGGCCTGAGTCCCAGGCACTTATAAGGTACTTCGGGATAGCACTTCACACCTTACCACTTGCAAAGTACTTTCACTTAAGGCTCAAGTATTTGCTGACTGACAAAATGAATGTATTCATCAAATTATACTATCAGTATAGGGGTTCCTCCCTAAAAATTAAGGTGGAATGAAAACTGAGGCAAATATTGTGAGGCTCTTTAAAAATGCAGGTCTTTTCAGACTAAAGCATCCAAATCTTTCTACTTTTTTTTTTTTTTTTTTTTTTAAGACTCAGAGATCATTTGGTGATGGGCAGCCAGGGTTGAGAACCACTATCCAAGGAGCACAAATTCATTTACTCTACCCACACGACAGCACCTACTATATGTCAGGCCGACCCGGGGACTAGAGCTACAACAGTGAGTGAGCAAGGGTGTCCTGGTCTGCGTGCAGGCAATGTCCCAGTGGGGGACATATCAGGAGGACGGGGAACTGAGGAATGACAGCTGGCAGCTCCCTGAAGCCTGAGAGAAGTTCCTAAATGGATTAGAAAGAAGTGTTCCAAGATCCCAAACCAGAAGCCCAGATAAAGGAACACACAACCATGCTTCTTTGCTTTCTACTGAAGGAGCCCTGGTAGCACAGTGGTTAAAGTGTTCGGCTGCTAATCAAAAGGTCGGCAGTTCGAACCCACCAGCCACTCTGGGGAGAAAGATGTGACAGTCTGCTTCTGTAAAGATTTACAGCCTTGGAAACCCTATGGGGCAGTTCTACTCTGTCCTATAGGGTCACTAAGAGTTGGAATCGACTCCACAACAGTGGGTTTGTTTTTTGTCTTCTACGCTTTTCCTGGTGCCAATGTCTGAGACAGGCCTCTGCTCTGTACTTTGCTGGAAGCCTTCACTTGCCCAGTACAGGGCTCTGAACATAGGAACTAAAAAAAATAAAAAGGCTCCCAAACACCTGTTTTGAATACTATTTGCTGTCTGGAAATGTTACTCTTCTCTTTTTCAAGAACACAGCTCATAGAACCCTCAAGTCTACCTGACCAGTTGGCAGACAACTCAGAGCCCATGTCGACCTGGATGTGGGCTGACGTGGATGGCTATCACCCAAGCTTGAACTTCTAACTCTGCGCATGTGTTGCTGGAATTCTGATTTGCAATAAATAAATACAATCAAGTAAGCATTTGGGAGTCCAAATCAAACCAAACCCATTGTTATCCAGTTAATTCCGACTCATAGCGACCCTACAAGGCAGAGTAGAACTGCCCCATAGAGTTTCCAAGGCTGTAATCTTTACAGAAGCAGACTGGCACAACTTTCTCCCGTGGAGCAGTAGTCGAACAGCCAACCTTTCAGTTAGCAGCCGAACATTTAATCATCAGGGCTCCCCTTCATTTGGGAGTAGGGTGGAGAAAAGGCCGTAGAAGTGGCAGTTAATCCTTGTTTGGATCATGTTTCTTTTCCAACAATGTTCTATGAAGACAAAGGAATCGAAATTGGCTAGTGTGGCCAGAGCTGAGGACATGTGGGTGGACAGCAGTGAACACCAATGGCTAGTCTCGTCACTCACTCCTCAGAGGATATGACAACAGGCAATGCCAAGCAAAGGCTGCTCATGCTGCACACAATCCAAGGTCCAGTGGCTTAGTGGCCGCCATGTGGAAACTGAGTAAGGCTGCTTGATTTCGAGCCACCTGGTGGGGGGCAGCACCAGGAGCCTACACTGGCTGTGATAACAGCCACTGGCTACATCCATGCGATCCTCTCCTTTCTGTCTCTCTGGGAAGGAAGCACCAACTATGGTTAAGGGGCTGAGAACAGAGGGTACTTGTTCAGTCCTCACCACAAAGCCTTTCATCTTTAGGTTAGAAAATACAGATCCTTGTGCAAAGCCCAGACCTAACGCTATGATAATGGTCCCAACAGCAGACAGTGCCCACTATGTGCCAGGCAGCATTCTAAGCATGTGACATTCATCATCACTCATTCCATCTTAGTCCATAGGCAGATACTATGGCTCTCCCTATTTTATAGATGAGGGGACTGAAGTTCAGAGAGGCTAAGGAAATTGTAATAAGGAGTGGAGCAAAAACATAAACCCAGCTCTGGCTTCCTAAGTTGTGCTTCTGAACCACCACGGAATCCAGGAGAAACGGCAGGGCAATGCTGCAGTGCAGCACCAAGGGGGGCAAGTGGTCTGGCTCTTGCTCCTCATCCAGGACAATCCCTACTAGACTACATTTTGTGAGATGCATTTTCCAGATGGGCCCTGCCCTCTCTCATCTGTTCACTGACTTGAAGCTACTAGTTCAGTGGGTGAGAGAAGCAGAGGCAGAGGCCATATAAAACCTAGCCCATCATCCTTCTGTGTAGGAACAGGCCGCCAGCCCACTGTGTCCCTGGACCCTGCCGGCTCCCGGGGCAGGCTGCCTGGACAAGGGCCGGCAGGCCGGCACCGTCCAGATACCTCACTGACCACATCTGAAGTCCTCTCGGGGCCTCCGGGAAGGAGGCCAGGCCGGCTGGCCACTTATTTGCAGCAAAGCAAACAGAAGCAGTATTTTCACTCTTTTTTTTGAAAGTCAGCACTCCAGTTTGCAGGGGTAGAGGGGGTGGGAAGAAGTCCATGTTCTAGACAGGCAGTGGCCTCAGAACTGACCCCAGCCCCTGACGAGTTTGTGCTTATTAAATTCTCCTCTTTGTTCTGCCTGCTGCCCCTCCCAAACAGCCAGACACACACAGATCAGTGTTGACTCTGCAGTTCTGGAGAGCACCTCCCCACCAGTTGACGGACTATGAAACCACTCCGTTCAGATCAAACACTGTCAGGGATGAAGTGCTGCAGTGCCAAAAGATGACTCATCAATCTTATCAAAACACTGCACAAATTAGAGTTCCAAACGTGATTAACTTTATCTGAACCTTTTAATTAACTCAGGTTGCTGAAGTCCGGAGGGAATGACATCCATCACTGGAGATGCTCTGTTAGTCAAGGCCTCGGCTTCCATTCAACACCTGCCCATGTAAGGGAAAAGGCAAACTCTGAAGAGGAGAAATCAAGCACCCTTTCATGTATTTAAAAGGACCACTGTGTACATGTGAATATACTACTACCTTTGGGGGAAAAAAATGTAAACACTTATGGAATTCAGATCAGATTAGTGCTGTTTTAAGAGTCTGGAAAGCAGTATTATTAATCACTGTATTTCTTTTGACGAATTTCTTATTGCATTTCAATACTGTAATTAGATTTAGCATAATCACTCAGGCCATCAAAAGATCCCAGTTATTTTCATTTAAAAAAAAAAAAAAAAAATGAAGTCAATGTTGCAAAACTTAGCCCTAATCCAATTGCTGTCCCCCAGAATGGTCTAGTTCATTTGAGGAAGGAAGAGCCAAATCTATAAAATCTCACTCATCTGACTAACGCTCAAAGCTCTCCTGTGCCAGACACTCTCGCCCTAGCCTCTCTGGGCCTGCTCAACCTAAAGGGGACCCCCTTTCTCCCCAAGATGGCTCATTCATGGAGACTCATCATCCCTAGGAAAGGCCCAGAAATCTGCTTCACTCCTGGGTTCCGTAAACTTGCAGGAAAACCAAAAGTATAGCTATTCTCTTGGCCAATAGCCCGTTTTCTAAAGCAATGTTCTGGGCCTGGCATTTTCTCAACTTCTGATAAATACCTACTGAGCACTGACTTTGTGCCAGGCCCTCTGCTGGGCAGGGGGGGAGCCAAGTGGCCTCTCTGCCCTCCCCGAGCATTTGGTGAGGGAGACAAACACTATACACGAGACAACAGGCGGTGCTAACTAGAAAAGGCACTGAGAATACTATGGGACACTCCCTTAAACGAGGTGGGATGGGTAGTCTCACCAAGTAACCAGGCTCTGCACCGTGAGTGGAACCCCCTCAGTCCTCACTGTCCCTAACCCCCAGGACATGTGACCGTCACCATGTTCTGGGCCCTAGGCACGTTCAGCTGCTGCTCTTTAGGGCCTGCTGCCCCTTCTCGGCCTGGAGAGCTTCTAA